ATCTTCCTACTGCTCATGTATACTGCTTGAAAAATAATCCGCCACCTGGCTTTGATCAAAAACAGGAGGAGCTTCAGCAAGTGTTATGAAACAGAAATTCCATATGTGAGCCTCTGTTTTCCAAATATGCATTATAGCGGCTTCAAAAAATGTAGTCTGGAGTGCAAGTCCCACAAGAAATATTACAAAGGTCTGCAAGCAGCAGCATTAAGTCTAGAGAGGAAAATGTCTGACCTCGCTGCCAATATAAGCTGCCGTTCAAAGGCTAAACGGCAAAAGCAGCCAAGTCTATCCTCCACTGTCCTGCCTTTGTCTGCTTGGCGCAGTCAGGAATGGCAAAAACATATTGACAAAAACTCTGTCAAGTCTAATGCTTATAGAAGCGTAGTCTAATTGAAAAACAAGACCTACTTTTACAACCAATAACTGAAGAGATCACTAAACACAGACAATTGTCACTTCTAATCCCTTCGTTGGAAAAGGAAAGCAGCTAATGAGCAGGCCAGAATACCCCGGGAAATATTGTGTCTACGCCCAGCCCCCCCCCCCCCCCCCTCCCCCCACTCTATAATGTGATGACTGACAGCACAGGTTATGTAGAACAAAGCAAGGAAACCTACCATTGTTCAGAGAAGTACAGTATTTTTCTTGGGCTGCTTAGCACTGTTTATTTTAATATCCCTGGCAAGGAGAAGATACTTTTCTTTAAAGCAGAGCTCTGGGCACATTGTTTTTTCAAAGGGGCACTGCAAGGGTTAAGTACTTATTTTTGTCTAGGTGCTAAAAAGAAAAAGTTCTCACCTGATCCTCTGAGCCGACTTTATGCTCGAAAACCCGCCGAGAATCGTACGATTGTCAGCGGGTTTCTAGCCTGCTCTTCAATATTTGTGGAACGGGCCGGTGTGCGCACGCGCACACTGCCCGTTCTGCATTGCGGTCAGCCTCAGCCTCAGTGGGGCGGGCTTTCGATGATCGCAAGTACGATCTGCCCGTCCAAGGTGGGCAGATCGTACGAGCTTTCAATAAGCATACGACCATCGCAAGACAAAAGTCTTGCGATGGTCGTAAGGTGTATGGGCACCTTTAGACTGATCCCAGGAGCTTCTCTACCCCTCCACTGCAGCAGTCTAAGGTCCCTGAGTCATCACATTCTATACACAGGACGCCAAGGGCCATACCATTGCTACAGCAGAGGAAGAGCCAGGCTTCAGGGACTGGAGTAGCAGCAAGCCGGCTCCATGGTTTGGGTGAGCATAGCTTTTTTTTTTTTTTTAGCACCTAGACAAAAACAAGCACTTAACCCCAGCCCCGCTGCAAGGGTTAACAAAACATTTTCCCAGAGTTCTACTTTAAAGTAGCCCAGTCACTTTAAAAAAAATCCAACTGTAAAGGAAGTGTTTATTTATGGACCGAACATCAGCTTATCCAAACCTGGACTGAAGCTGTCAGTGCCATCCAAATCAGCTGCGCCCAAAGGCTTTCCACGCCTTTGAGGCTGCATGTAAACACAAGAGTGGGATGCCGCTGACATCATTGACCTTATATGGGCTCATGGCCACATTAGTTCAATGTCTTGACTCTTTTCTTTACATGCAGTGGTGGGGCGGGGAATGCCCTGGCCACAGCTGATTGGCCTGGCACTGACAGCTTCCTTCTGGGTTCAGACCGAATCCAAGCTCATCCCTATTATATGCCTACATTTCCAGCGGCCTGTATAATGAAAAGCCGCTGCTTCTTTGCTCCCCAGTCACCGCAAACATCTCATTGGATGAGTCAAATGCTTGCTCCCCCCACCAGATGAGTCGAATGCTTGCTCCACCCACCAGCTGCTGTGGTTCCTCCTGCTGGCTCCTACATTCTGTAATGACGTAGCTAGTGGAATAAACTAGAGTGGACAGTGGAGGGAGCAAGCATTTGACTCATTTGATGGGCAAATGTGTGCAGCGGCTGGGAAGCGGAGAAGTGGCAGCTTCTTTTGCAGGTGGGCTTTTAGTAAAAGTGACCCTGTAGTGACTGGGTCACTTTAGCACAAAATAATTTATTGCTTGAGTGGGTCACATATAGGTCCACTTTGATCACGGATCATAGCTTTTTGGCAATCAAGCTGTAGCCTAACATAGAAGTATTAACCCTCATGAAGTCTGTTAACATTTGAAATGTACATGTGTTCATCCAAGCTGGAAGAGCGTAAAACATACACTATTATAAAGCCAAAAGTTTTGTTTTTCATTTGGAGTCAACAGCTGATATTATTTAAACTTAATTTCATAGTTCCAACAAACAGCTGACTAAAGGTGAAATGGAGCCAAAAGTACTTAGACTTTATTGGATTTTAAAGCCAAGAAATAATTGATGCTGGAATTGAAGACTAATCCTTATAAGCAGGGTGCAAATATCTTTTTCCAAGCTTTTCAAAAACACAAGAAAAGTAAACATATACCACATGAAACTTTAGCTAAAAAAAGGTGTATAACAGGACAAGGTACCACAAAGGTACTCACAGACATGGCAGATGATAATTGGAAGGTGTCATTGTCACAAAATTGGCACAACGACGCTGTTCATGATTTTGTGTCAAAATCATGAACAGCTGCACTGGGTGAACATGGATGAATGATCTATTAGCAGACATCCCCATCCCAGCCACTATCCTAACTCCAGGAATCTACATATCTCCATCCATCATGATCAATTCTTCCCCGGTCATCGCTTGGTGCGAAGGCAGGCTGCACATGTTTATTTTAGCCCAAAGACATCATTTATGTTTGCTTCCTAATCTGATGGTTATCAGCCAGATCGGGTGTCAGACATCCAATTGGACACTGGCTTTTAGTGGATATGCCTCATCCTAACAAATAAAGTTATTTTCTAAAAGTTCAAAAATATATATTCCCTCAAAGAGTAGATCATCACAGGGATGCCAACCATTAGATTCACAATACCAAATATTTATTTAATTCAAATATACAAAATACACAAAACGTAACACATATACCTTCTTAAAAACACTAAAAAACTTTTAACTTCATACAATGCTTAATATCTATCTATCTATCTATCTATCTATCTATCTATCTATCTATCTATATCTTCTGATTTGATCTAGGGGAAAATTTCCCTTTTGATTCCCCCAAGGCAATCAAATGTTCCCCGGATCAACACTCTGCAGTTCTAATTCTTACAACTATTGGAACCCATTTATATGTGGAGTGCTAAGATAGACACTCAGCCCTTTATTTCAAAGCAATCCACTGACAAACAGATCCTCAAAAAAGTCTATTTTACTAAGTCTCTGCTATAGTTGCCCCCACATTCTTGCTGCGCCCTAACACAAGGCAAGTCTGCCTAGAACAGCCCTGGCCATAATATAAAATAACAGTAACTGTCATATCACATTAATCAGCCTTCTTGCCATTCATGGTTGCTAATGTAAGCGAAATCATAAACAGCACCTATATATATATATATGTAAATATATCCTTTACATGATCTGATTTATATACAGTATCCCTATAACCATGGTGGTTTGTGCATACATTTACTGTATGAGGTTACATTTTTTTAGTGTTTTTAGGAAGGTATAGGTGTTAAGATTTGTGTGTTTTGTGTATTTTACAAAGAATTACTTTGTATTGTTCATTTATGGTTGGTGATCTACTCTTTTCGGGAATATATATTTCCTTAACTTTGAAGTAACTTGGGAGTTGAACCCCACAGGGATTTATTCGTTTGATTGTCTATACAGTATAAGCCTCACCACACCATTTTCCCTCTTTGGTTTTGCATAAGTTAATTTTTAATCAATGTGGATTAAAATGTGTTAATCTTTACAGCAGGCTTAATAAACAAAGGTCAAAAGTTTCATGTTACTGCAGTAAAGCTTTTTTTGTATTCACTTTTTTCCTGAATAGAGGAAGTTCTAGTCAGCCATTGAATGCAGTTACCCACGACTACTTATAAACATGCTATGTACTGCAATGGCCACAGTAAAATTAACATGGCCCTGAGGAACACAATGTTGTTATACTGCCTGTTATCATCAAGAAAGTAGGAAATCCCTTAATTTATATCATTAAAGTATATCTAAAGTTGTTAGTTTTGGATAGCGTAGGGGAGGTTTGAAACCCCTGTTGGATCTTTTTTCGTTGCTTGGGTCCTATTGAGAAGATTTTGCTTCACTTCCTGTCCCCTAGACAGAATACAAAGCAAGAGGAAGCTTTTCCAAAGTAAGGGAAATCCTCTAGATAGTTATCAGCACAAGTGTTCCCATTGGAAGATCTCCCCTATGTTCCTGATGTAGTTTAAAAAAAAAAAAAATGTTTCCTCACATTCAAACCTGGGGACAATGGTTACTGGGAAAAGTAAGGATGAATCTCCCCAACATGAACACAAACAGCAAAAAGAACCTAAAGGTGTTCTAATCCTTCCCCATGCTATGCAAAACAAAAAAAGTCTTGACTTTATATGCACTTTCATTTCTGTAAAGCTGCTCTTAAAAAAATATTAGTATCATTCTGTGGGCAGCAAAGCATTTTAGTGTTTTTGCATTGTTACCTACGTCACATTAAATTTAAAGCCGGGCTTAAGCTATCACAGTGTGGCAATGCAATGTTACATGTGTTGGTTTCTTCATTTCAACACAAAAGTCAAAACAGCTGCACTAAATTGTGCCGTAATGGTTCAGTTCCCGAAAAAAGGGTAAGATACGGTTTTAGTCACACTGGGGTGTGTTGGTAGCCCATTCAAAATACACTGGACAAATGTGAACCCGGCCTAAGGGCTGACTCAGAGATATATGAAGCAAGTAAAATAGACACTATTTCTCAATGTTTTCACCCAAGTTTCACAAATTTCATCAAAGACTCACTCACTTTTCAAGCTGAATCTCGGGTAAAAATATGCGAAACCCAGGGTGAAAGTTATGCAAATCTTAGGTGAAAACATTGATAAATAGTCTCCTTTGTGTACTGCAACTACTCTCTTTATGGATATATACTTACTTTGTTGCCTGGAGAGCCATCCACATTTTCCATGAACTGTACTCCTTGCTTCTTATCTGCTAAGTCATGACCCCGATAGGCTTTAAACATAGCTGGACTGTGGTGAGATGGGGGCACCTGATAGACAGGATCTGGAAATGAAGACTTTGGTCCCTGGAAAGGTTGATGCTGATAGCCAGGTTGTGGTGATGCTTCTTGTTTGGGCACGTCATGTCTAGGAGCATCAGACACTGGACCTATGAGAAGCTTCAGTCTGTTTCCTGGTGCAATCCCTTGCCGTCCATGTAATGAACAAAGCCACCATCCCTCAAGACCTCCAGTGTTCTGCTCAATGACTGTTAAGATATCTCCTTTCCGGAATGATAATTCCTCTGCACATTCTGGCACATTATCATACAACGCTCTTGCCATAAGGTTCTGAAAAAAAGAAGAAAATATATTGTAAAATGCTTACTACGTTCAACAAATCTATGTCACTTTTAATGTAACTGTTTCAAAAAAGTCAGCTGGAGTTGGGCTTTCAGTTGTTTGTCGCTTAGTTAATGTCCACCTAAAACTACATGTTCATACACAAAATCCCGGTCCACAGGGTGGCAACGCTGCTGTGATTTCACTGCAGAACACACAGCATTGTCACCTTGTTAAAGGAAGTGTAAAATCAACAGATCTACTCGCAGAATCAACAGGTCAAAAACACATGGATTTCAGAAAACAAAAACTGCCATATTAATGCTAGTGACAGGCTGCACCATTTATATATTTTTTATTTTGTCCATAGTTCTTCTTTTAGGTTTCGGTTGGCAGTGGCACGGCAACAAGAAACCAGACATGTGCCCATATAGCACGGCATTTAACATACTCTCTGCACTGGTGCCGAAGCCACTGTTTCAAGTTTTTGCAAGTCAGCCTGATAGCAAGAATTGTATCATTACTTATCATATTCCCATGTGAAAAAAGTCAGTAGGTTCTTATCACTGAACTAGTAACCACCTGATTCACAATACAAGAACACAGTTGAAATCAGCATATAATGCCGTCTCACAGTGAATATTCCCACAACATATTGTTGCCGTTAGCTAAATCTGCAGCAAGCAGACTGACTTGAATTTCAGCTATTTGTTTTTGCATGTCTAAATTAACATATGTGACAATAACTCAACATCAATATAAAAATGATAAATGCGGTATTTCCTGTTTGTTCAGCATTCAATAATTCTTAGCTTATAATACCAACTCTTCTGGAATGGGCCCATTTTTGAAGCAAGATCATTAAAGATCTCTTGTGGAACAGACAAAAAATCAGGAATTTCTATAAAAAAACAATTCCATTTTGTTAATAATTCACTTAAGAAAGTTGTAAGGCTGTATCGCAATCCTTTCTAAGCAAAGTACACATAAACTGGTAAAGCTGCATAAGCTCACGTACTATGCAAATGAAGTAAGTTATGACTTTGTTGATATGATCTACAGTATATTGTCACAGAGCTGGCCTTTCACCTTTATTGCCAGGTTACCAAGGACAAGCAAGCCACCTCCACAGTTTTCACGCAAAGGCCACCCTTAGCCTCTATGTTAAGTTAACTTTATGAAATCATGAGAGTCTCATACGGTTCACCACTTATAAAGGAACTTAAAGGTACAATCCAGTTAATATTAAACTTTATCAGCATACAAGCAGCATAGCCTATAGGTGAACTTGCTGAGTTTAGCCCAGCTGTTGTATTTCACTTGCTGCAGTATATAAGTATTGGAAGTATATAAGAGAATCATGGAAGCTGTCATCAATGAGATGCATTTTATTTTTATGTATCTATATGATCAAACTTTCTTTAGACATACTCTATATATGATCAAGATGGCTTCTTGACCATCAGTGTGGATGGAAGTATATAAGAGAATCATGGAAGCTGTCATCAATGAGATGCATTTTATTTTTATGTATCTATATGATCAAACTTCCGTTAGACATATATGATCGAGATGGCTTCTTGATCATCAGTGTGGTTGGAAGTATACAAGAAAATCATGGAAGCCGTCATCAATGAAATTCATCTTTAGTACATGCGGGGTAAAAAACAGTGTGGAACATTTCCTTTTCAAATAAAAGTATATTAAACATCGTAGAAAAAAGGGGATGTGAAAAAAGGGGTATCGCACACATTATTTATTAGAATAATTTGTATGTACTGGAAGTAATGCTTAGCCTCAACTAATGGGCTACACTTCCGAGAGAAGAACCCCCTCCTTTCTGTTCCGGTTATTTGGTCTGATTGTTCCTAAAAGCATCCGATTTTACACCTGCAAAAGAACTGCAACTTACCCATAATTTGTTGTGGTAAAACTACACTACTATACAATGTTATCAGTTCTTAGCAGTCCAGCTGGCATGAACAGAACCCTGTGAAAGGCCCTCATTAGGATTAAGTAAACTTGTTACAATTTGGCAACATTGTTTTCCTGCTTTTATTTTTCAGATTGCACACTACTAAAAAAAAACAGTGACTCTTTAACAAAGTGCTGGCTGAATTGTGGCTACTTCCCTACTGCCCTTTAACTGGGTGTATTTTCTACTCACTTCCCTATTTTTCCTGAATAACCACAACTTCAAAATTT